ATAGGAGATGCTAACTACCTCGCCTGGTACGCAGGAGGTCGTGGGTTCGATCCTGACCTTGACGCCTGCTGTATATTTGGAGTTTGCGTGTCTCTCTCATCATCATCACGGTGGATAGATGTTAACTACCTCGCCTGGTACGCAGGAGGTCGTGGGTTCGATCCTGACCCTGACACCTGCTGCTGTATATTTGGAGTTTGCGTCTCTCTCTCATCATCATCACGGTGGATAGGAGATGTTAACTACCTCGCCTGGTACGCAGGAGGTCGTGGGTTCGATCCTGACCTTGACGCCTGCTGTATATTTGGAGTTTACGTGTCTCTCCCTCTCATCATCATCACGGTGGCTAGGAGATGTTAACTACCTCGCCTGGTACGCAGGAGGTCGTAGGTTCTATCCAGACCCTGACGCCTGCTGCTGTATATTTGGAGTTTGTGTCTCTCTCTCTCATCATCATCACGGTGGCTAGGAGATGTTAACTACCTCGCTTGGTACGCAGGACGTCGTGGGTTCGATCCAGACCCTGACGCCTGCTGCTGTATATTTGGAGTTTGCGTGTCTCTCATCATCATCATCACGGTGGCTATGAGATGTTAACTACCTCGCCTAGTACGCAGGAGGTCGTGGGTTCGATCCTGACCCTGACGACTGCTGCTGTATATTTTGAGTTTGTGTGTCCCTCTCATCATCATCACGGTGGCTATGAGATGTTAACTACCTCGCCTGGTACGCAGGAGGTCGTGGGTTCGATCCTGACCTTGACGCCTGCTGCTGTATATTTGGAGTTTGCGTCTCTCTCTCTCATCATCATCACGGTGGCTAGGAGATGTTAACTACCTCACCTGGTACGCAGGAGATCGTGGGTTCGATCCAGACCCTGACACCTGCTGTATATTTGGAGTTTGCGTGTCTCTCTCATCATCATCACGGTGGCTAGGAGATGTTAACTACCTCGCCTGGTACGCAGGAGGTCGTGGGTTCTAACCTGACCCTGACGCCTGCTGCTGTATATTTGGAGTTTGCGTGTCTCTCTCTCTCTCATCATCATCACGGTGGCTAGGAGATGTTAACTACCTCGCCTGGTACGCAGGAGGTCGTGGGTTCTAACCTGACCCTGACGCCTGCTGCTGCTGTATATTTGGAGTTTGCGTGTCTCTCTCTCATCATCATCACGGTGGCTAGGAGATGTTAACTACCTCGCCTGGTACGCAGGAGGTCGTGGGTTCGATCCAGACCCTGACACCTGCTGCTGTATATTTGGAGTTTGCGTGTCTCTCTCTCATCATCATCATCACGGTGTCTATGAGATGTTGACTACCTCGCCTGGTGTACAGGAGGTCGTGGGTTCGATCCCGACCCTGACGACGCCTGCTGCTGCTGTATATTTGGAGTTTGCGTGTCTCTCTCTCATCATCATCATCACGGTGGCTAGGAGATGTTAACTACCTCGCCTGGTATACAGGAGGTCGTGGGTTTGATCCTGACCTTGACGCCTGCTGCTGTATATTTGGAGTTTGCGTCTCTCTCTCTCATCATCATCACGGTGGCTAGGAGATGTTAACTACCTCGCCTGGTACGCAGGAGGTCGTGGGTTCTATCCAGACCCTGACACCTGCTGCTCTATATTTGAACTTTGCACATCATTCTCTCTCTCCCCCGATGGCCGTGTGGATTTTTCTCCGGGCCCCGCCTGATGATCCCTCCACATGTGAAATGAAGGTGACACGTGTTGAACAAGAGTCACTTGGCCAACGTGAATGTCCACACGGCGGCGAGAGCCCACTCCGGTGACGGGAAGAGAGTCGCTTCTGAAGAGACGCGGCTACGTCCGTCGCACCTCGCACGGGCCCCTTTGTACGGTAAGCAACGAGAAATCATTCCAGTTGAATTTTGATTTAAAGCTTTCGTGACTGCAGCAGGGATTCATCTTCTTGGTTCTTTCGGTAAAGTCACGTAGAAGGGAAATAATAAAATAATACAACTAAAACATTTTTACGTTTCGATTTAAAGCTTTCGTGACTGCAGGGATTCATCTTCTTGGTTCTTTCGGTAAAGTCACGTAGAAGGGAAGTAATAAAATAATAAAAATAAAACATTATAAAATACAATTCTCACGACGTTTCGGCCACAACGCAAGCAGCCGCCCTCAGGTGGTTTTAACCTGAGGACGGCTGCTTGCGTTGTGGCCGAAACGTCGTGAGAATTGTTTAATTTTAATTTTATTATTTCCCTTCTACGTGACTTTACCGAAAGAACCAAGAAGATATTCCAGTTGAACACGAGTCGAGAAACACTCACCTTGCGTACAAGCGTCGGGACGTTACCGGGGCCGTCACCGCTGCCGCCGTCACCGTCACTGTCACCGTATCCGTCACCGCCGGTGGCCACCACAGGGCAGGCGGAGGTCTCGGGCAGCGGCCCAGAGGCTTCGAGGCGCGTCTCCTGAGCCGGAGGCGGCGGCACCGCGTAGCGGAGAATTTGGAACATCCTGGGAGGGTCTGAGGCGTGCGACATCGCTGAGCGAGAAATGCGCAACTGTGAGGGGAGAGTGTTGTGAACGCTTTGCAATGGCTAAGTCCACCCGGACTTTCTGATTTTAAAGATTATTGCTTCATAAGACTCAACACTGCACCATAGACTCAACACTGCACCATAGACTCAGCACTGCACCATAGACTCAACACTGCACCATAGACTCAACACTGCACCATAGACTCAGCACTGCACCATAGACTCAACACTCCACCATAGACTCAACACTGCACCATAGACTCAACACTGCACCATAGACTCAACACTGCACCATAGACTCAACACTGCACCATAGACTCAACACTGCACCATAGACTCAACACTGCCCATAGACTCAACACTGCACCATAGACTCAACACTGCACCATAGACTCAACACTGCACCATAGACTCAACACTGCACCATAGACTCAACACTGCCCATAGACTCAACACTGCACCATAGACTCAACACTGCACCATAGACTCAACACTGCCCATAGACTCAACACTGCACCATAGACTCAACACTGCCCATAGACTCAACACTGCACCATAGACTCAACACTGCACCATAGACTCAACACTGCCCATAGACTCAACACTGCACCATAGACTCAGCACTGCACCATAGACTCAATACTGCACCATAGACTCAACACTGCACCATAGACTCAACACTGCACCATAGACTCAGCACTGCACCATAGACTCAGCACTGCACCATAGACTCAATACTGCACCATAGACTCAACACTGCACCATAGACTCACACTGCCCATAGACTCAACACTGCACCATAGACTCAACACTGCACCATAGACTCAACACTGCCCATAGACTCAACACTGCACCATAGACTCAGCACTGCACCATAGACTCAATACTGCACCATTGACTCAACACTGCACCATAGACTCAACACTGCACCATAGACTCAACACTGCACCATAGACTCAACACTGCCCATAGACTCAACACTGCCCATAGACTCAACACTGCCCATAGACTCAGCACTGCACCATTGACTCAACACTGCACCATAGACTCAACACTGCACCATAGACTCAACACTGCACCATAGACTCAACACTGCACCATAGACTCAACACTGCCCATAGACTCAACACTGCCCATAGACTCAACACTGCACCATAGACTCAACACTGCCCATAGACTCAACACTGCACCATAGACTCAACACTGCCCATAGACTCAACACTGCACCATAGACTTAACACTGCACATGCAAATCATTTATCATCAAAAATCCATGGCAACCGCATCAAAAATCCATGGCAACCGCCTTCACCCCCCCCCCTCAAATGGGGGCGGGCGAGGGGGAGGAGCCGAAAAGATTTGGCGGGAAACAAACTCCGCGTCACGTGGGAGGGGAGACACCCAAACCTGTTTGTCTCCAAGGCGGGAGGCGATTTTGAGGAAATATGTTAAAGCACAAATTACCAAACTCAACAATAAAACTCCCGATTTATTGGTTCTCTCGGTAAAGTCGCGTAGAAAGGAAGTAATAAACTAATGAAAATTAAACAATATACAATAATTGTATTCTAAATATTTTATTATAATAATAAAGCAATTGTATTGTTTAATTTGTATTATTTCCCTTCTACGTGACTTTACCGACAGAACCAAGAAAATAAAACTCCCATATTGTTGATTTTTTCGGTAAAGTCACGTAGAAGGGAAATGATAAAATACAAATTTAACATAATACAATAATTTTACTATTATAATAAAATTATTTTATTGCTTTATTTTAATTATTTCCTTTCTACGTGGCTTTAAGAATATGAATCTCTGCAGTTTTATTGTTGAAGTACATTAAATACGGAAATATCAAAAGAATATTTTAATGAAAAGTTCACCTCAAACGCGATGGCGGAATTTCGAATCCTTCCCGACTCCAGGATCGATGTGCGGCTTATAACCAAATCGATTCTCTCCAATCTGGGACTGCAATAACAAACGATTATAGAATCGATCATCGATTCCCAACGCCCCTTTCTTTTACAGCGGTTGAATCGAGTTGCGTTTTGTTCAAGAATCGAATCGATGACAACGCGGTCTGAGTGGCTAAGCCAATAGAAGCGCTCGCTGCTGGAAGGCGCCGTCCAATCAGAGGCGATGGTGGCTCTAGGTGCACGTAGCCTGGCACCAGCTGCACTGATTGTTTGAACCGGTCCCGGGCCTCCCCTAGGTCGCCTCAGCTGGTGTGGTGTGTGAACATCGCCACTGGGGAGACAAAGGCGGCCGGGTAGTAGAGCTAGTAAGATCACGTGAGGAGTTTATACGTCAAGGACGTTATTATATTATATATTTATTTTTTAAAAATTAAGTAATTTTAATGCTTTGTAAATAAAAACAACAATTTGCTAAACCTTGGTCACAATATCTGGACTTGCCTTCATGTAAATCAACGCATAGATTTCTGTTGATATGATTGTGGTTGTACTTTATTAATCCGTAATCTCAAACATTACATACAATAAAGCCAGAAATGGTTAAAAAAAAAGTTAAAACAGAGCAATGTAATACAATACACTATTAGACTTTATTGTAAAAAAATATAATTATAAAAAGTCCATCCCATGTGTTGGTGAATTTGTAAATGTTTTAGGCAGGAAATGGCAGGAAATTAGTTTTCAAATTTAGATATTTTTTCTGGGGAGGGGACCCCAGACACCTGGAAAATCTGCCCCCCCCCCAATGTTGTCTCCACGGCTACAGCCTTGCACTACACTATACACTACTACACTATACACTACTACACTATACACTACTACACTATACACTACACTATACACTACACTATACACTACTACACTATACACTACTACACTATACACTACACTATACACTACACTATACACTACTACACTATACACTACTACACTATACACTACACTATACACTACACTATACACTACTACACTATACACTACTACACTACTACACTATACACTACTACACTATACACTACTACACTATACACTACACTATACACTACACTATACACTACTACACTATACACTACACTATACACTACACTATACACTACACTATACACTACACTATACACTACACTATACACTAATATACACTACACTATACACTACTACACACTACACTATACACTACACTATACACTACTACACTATACACTACACACTACTACACTATACACTACACTATACACTACTACACACTACACTATACACTACTACACTATACACTACACTACACACTACACTATACACTACACTATACACTACTACACTATACACTACTATACACTACACTATACACTACTATACACTACACTATACACTACTACACACTACACGATACCTTACCTATGAAAGTCATCTTTCGTCTGTGTGTCTGTCTGCCTGTTTGCGCGGGTACCTTGTGACGTGTTTCACTTACAAACTGTGGGGTTTTACGCATCGAAAAAGTACACAGATACCACACCGTATGCCCCGCGACGGAAAAGCGCTATTCGTATTTCACATCTGTCAAGTTTAAAGTGGTTAAATTAACAATGTATTCCCTTTCATTAGCACAGGGTGGTGCCAGGCCACGCATCTGCGCATGCGCGAGAAAGTCGCCTCCGCTGAGGTGAATTCTTCAGTGTGATGTCCTCTTCTCCCCAATGTGTGCAGCACTTACTACTATAGGGTCGGTAGCAGAGGTTGCAACCGGGTACCCGATACCCGTACCCTACCCGATACCCGGCTACCCGTACGGGTACGGGTACCCGTTTGCGACCCTGGTGCGGCCGGGTACGGGTAGACCGTGAGTCATTGGTGAGTAACTGTTTGTCACTCATTTCCCAACGTCTTGTCTCTTCTCACAATTCAAGTTCCTAGAATCAACCCACTGGCGCCTGCAACATGGCTTCATCCCAGAGGTCGCAATCAGGTACCCGATACCCGTACCCTACCCGTACCCGGCCGGGTACGGGTACGGGTACCCGTTTGCGACCTTGGTGCGACCGGGTACGGGTAAGGAATCAAAACCCGTTTGTGACCTCTGGTCGGTAGATACTACTATTATAGTCCTTGGATGAAATTATTGTAGAGCGGGTGGGGGGATGGTGGTGGGGGGGGTAGTTGCCCAGCCACAGCCTGGCTAGGGGCTCTGCACGGGACTAAGCCTCACCACTACACGCTGTGAAGTTAGTACTATTATAGAGTTTGGATAGCTACTACTACAGCCGGTGGATAAACTATACACTACACTATACACTCCACAGTAGTGCCGTACTGCGTAATGAATTGGCACGGTCTGTTCCTGTTGTACTAAACCTAACTAAATGGCTGTGTCGGGTGGTGGCGGGTTTAACGACGGTGCAACATTTATATATTTATTATTTATCTATTTGGTTGTCTACGTTCATTGTCGTTGTTTTTCTTTGCATTCCCCCCGCCAGATTCGTCAAGCAAGAAATGGACGATAATGCAGCACTTGGGAAGCGGCCAGACTCTACGGAGAGCCTGCAAGACATCGATGCTGGTGAGCACGGTGGCACCACGGTGGATAGCAGACGTTGACTACCTCGCCTGGTATACAGGAGGTCGTGGGTTCGATCTCTCTCTCATCATCATCATCACGGTGGCTATGAGACGTTGACTACCTCGCCTGGTATACAGGAGGTCCTGGGTTCGATCCCGACCCTGACGCCTGTTGTACAATGCTCCCACCACACCGTCCTCCCCGCCCGTCCGTACCTTTGCAGGAGACAAGAAGACAGCAAGCACCGCCGGTGACAGGCGGCACGCGTGCGGGCAGTGCGGCTTTCCCCACTTCGAGACGCACACGGGCGAGAAGCAGTACGTGTACGCCGAGTGCGGCAAGGGCTTCGCGCACGACTTCAACTTGAACCTGCGAGTGAGGTCGCACATAAACGAGAGGCCGTACGTTTGCGAGGAGTACGGGAAGGGCTCCGCGCAGGCCTGCAACTTGAACCTGCGAGTGAGGTCACACACGGGCGAGAGGCCGTACGTGTGCTAGGATTGCGGGAAGAGTTTTCCCGGCTGCTCCGACATGAAGAGGCACGCCAGGACGCACGCGGGCGAGAGAACGTACGTGTGCGACGAGTGCGGGCAGGGGTTCACGCAGGTGGACAGCTTGCACGTGCACGCAAGGAAGCACACGGGGGAGAGGCCGTACGTGTGCGCAGTGTGCGGCAAGGGGTTTGCTTTGCGTCGCCACCTTCAGCGGCACTCGGTGACTCACGGGGAGTGAGTCTAGCTAGGGAGGGGGTCTAACCGAATACGTTTGGTGGTGCACACTGGGAGGCACGCACGCGGCCGTGAGAGGCTGTGAGCTCGGGGGGCGTCGGGAATTATTTCAAGAAACAAATCTACACTACTATACACTACACTACTATACACTACACTACTATACACTACACTACTATACACTACACTACTATACACTACACTACTATACACTACACTACTATACACTGTACACTACACTACTATACACCACTACTATACACTATACTATACACTACACCACTATACACTACACTACTATACACTACACCACTATACACTACACTACTATACACTACACTACAATACACTACTATACACTACACTACTATACACTACACTACTATACACTACACTATACACTACTATACACTACACTACTATACTCTACACTACTATACACTACACTATTATACACTACACTATACACTACACTACTATACACTACACTACTATACACTACACTACTATACACTACACTACTATACACTACACCACTATACACTACACTACTATACACTACACTACTATACACTACACTATACACTACACTACTATACACTACTATACACTACACTATACACTACTATACACTACTATACACTACACTACTATACACTACTATACACTATACACTACTATACACTACACTATACACTACACTACTATACACTACACTACTATAACTATACACTATAATGACGATGGTAAATAAAGTGCTATGACTTGCGCAGAGAACTTGGATTGAAGTGAGGGTGATTTGCGCAGCGTCAACCTCACTCTCTCGACCAGCCGCATCTGTACCCAGTGGCGAGACGTAGTCAAGACGACTGGAGATGGTCCTGGTTGCAGTGGAACTGTGGAAGGTCCAAAGACCCGTTTTGGTGGAATTTCCTCCACCAGGGGTTCCACACGCCCAGGCTCAGACTAGCCGAGTTTGCCGGGTTAGTTATCCGCCGCCCGGGGTTCGGCGTTGGCAGCTGCTGACTGTAGCGACTCACCAGGGATGTTGAGCTGGTGTGCGCCTACGGTAGCAGCTAGAGGGCCGGGCCAGATGGAACAAGCCAGAGGCACAACTAGCTGGTCAGACACAAATTAACACAGTACACACACACAGTACACACACACAGTACACACACACAGAGTACACACACACAGTACACACACACTACACACACACTACACACACACTACACACACACAGAGTACACACACACAGTACACACACACTACACACACACTACACACACACAGTACACACACACAGTACACACACACACAGTACACACACAGTGTACACACAGAGTACACACACAGAGTACACACACAGTACACACACAGTACACACACACTACACACACACTACACACACAGTACACACACTACACACACTAGCAATCTAAAGCAACGCAGTAAATTCAAAGAAGCAATGTTCTAAAGCCAACAGCCGGTCAACTTTAATCTTCGCCAGACACTTCACCACGGCCAATGCGCCAATATAAATTCCGCAACATTTAATGCTGCCTTGTGAAATACAAACACAACTCAATTAAATTGTCATGTCCATGCTCATTTCAGATTAAGACCGGTCGCACAAAAGCACCCATTTCAGGAAACAATTTAAAGTCCGACTTAACAGACATGTTTTGCCTTCATCCATTAGACTAAAGTAAAAAACTTTCTTTAAAATTATAAACGTCTAAAGTGTTCAACCAAACGCGGTGTGTACCTTGTGTACACACCATAAACATTGCAAGAATCGCGTATCAATTAACAAAACCCACATGCAGACTTTTTGGTTCTTCCGGTAAAGTCACGTAGAAGGGAAATAATAAAACATAATAAAATACAATTCTCACGACGTTTCGGCCACAACGCAAGCAGCCGTCCTCAGGTGAAGAACAGGTCTGTCGGAAAGACAGCGTCTGAATGAAACACCACCAGGTTTGGCAGCGTATATTGCTGTGTATATTGCTGCCAAGCTTGGTGGTGTTCATTCAGACGCTGTCTTTCTGACAGACCTGTTCTTCACCTGAGGACGGCTGCTTGCGTTGTGGTGAAGAACAGGTCTGTCGGAAAGACAGACGCTGTCTTTCCGACAGACCTGTTCTTCACCTGAGGACGGCTGCTTGCGTTGTGGTGAAGAACAGGTCTGTCGGAAAGACAGACGCTGTCTTTCCGACAGACCTGTTCTTCACCTGAGGACGGCTGCTTGCGTTGTGGTGAAGAACAGGTCTGTCGGAAAGACAGACGCTGTCTTTCCGACAGACCTGTTCTTCACCTGAGGACGGCTGCTTGCGTTGTGGTGAAGAACAGGTCTGTCGGAAAGACAGACGCTGTCTTTCCGACAGACCTGTTCTTCACCTGAGGACGGCTGCTTGCGTTGTGGCCGAAACGTGGTGAGAATTGTATTTTATTATGTTTTTATTATTTTATTATTTTCCTTCTACGTGACTTTACCGAAAGAACCAAGAAGATGAATCCCTGCAGTCACGAAAGAATCTTTAAATCGAAACCCACATGCAGTCCTTAACGTAACGTTTCTTCAGACCCAACAACATTTTTTTTTAAATCAAACAAACCCCCGATATGTGTACGCTCTGGGTGTGAGCTGTGGTTCTCTGCAACCTGCAACAACAACAACAACAGCAGCAGTGAGCGGCATTGGCGACGTCAAGAAGCAACACGACAGATCGTGGTCAAACCCCGCAAAGGGCTGGATTGTCACTTGGAGAATTGCCGATTGTGGCCGACATTTCTCCGTGTCATCCAATCTCTAACGTGGGGCACGAGAGCGTTGACAAGCGACTGCCGTTTGAAACAAACTCCTCCACATCTTTATCTCACCGGGTGAGACCCACGCAGCTGTGCGAGCGCTCTTTGATTTAGAAGTTGTTCACGATATAATACGCAAATTATATCACACTGGTCAACAAAACAAAACAACAACATGTAGTTCTGGCCTGGACTTTTGCAGCTGTTCTGGACTAAATTCAGGGTGCCGATTTCAAATCTGATCTCAGATTTGCTCCGTCCGTCGCATCTCATTTTTATGCTATCGGCATACCCCGTCAAATGGTCTCTCTCTCATCCTCCACGGAGCAGCGTGTTCTCACGAGGAGAACCTCACAAGCAACATCAACAGACTTCCGTTATCGTGTTGCAGCCGGAAAGACAGCGTCTGAATGAACACCACTAAGCTTGGCAGCGTATATTTAAGCTGGGTTAGAGGAGGAAGAGCGCCTTGACAAAGGGACTCACATATCAACAGAGGAATGTAGTATATTTATAGGAAATTCAGATATGGGATTAGTCACTACTTGTGGAATGTGTAGGAGGTGGGCGGGGGGTTTCAAAGTCATATTATGCAGGATTAGCAGCATCAAAGGGAGGGAGTAGGGGTAGCATTAATAAAGGGAAGGAATCATATTCTTAGGTTTTTTTCGATAAAGTCACGTAGGTAAAAAAATTTAAATTAATAAAAGTTAAATAAAAAAAGCTTCCGGAAGCTTGTGTTGCCTCCGAAACGTCGTGATTTTTATTTTATGTAACTTTTATTAATACATTTTTTTTTTTACCTACGTGACTTTACCGAAAAAACCTAAGAATACGAATCCTTGCAGTCACGAAAGCTTCAAATCTAGAAAGGGAAGGAATGTTAATAGTATGGGAGCTGCAGCAACTAAGCCACCACGTAAAAAAACTAAAATATAAACTACATCAGTATCATCAATATACTAAATATACTCTCCAATAAGCCGAGCTGCTGTCACCGTCACCGTGGTCGTCACCTGTCTAGGCTGCACCTCGGCCAGAGGAGGGGAGGTCCGCCCCGAACGTCGCCACGTTCAGGCGCCGCTGCTCCGCCAACGTCACGCGGCAGTTCCTGGCGGGGCGGGAGGAGGAGGAGGGGGGAGGGGCGGGGGGTGGGGGGGTGAGCACGGCTGGTCAGAGGTCGCAGATGGGTTTTGATTCCTTACCCGTACCCGGCCGCACCAGGGTCGCAAACGGGTACCCGTACCCTACCCGTACCCTACCCGTTCATTACCCGTACCCTACCCGTACCCTACCCGTACCCTACCCGTACCCTACCCGTACCCTACCCGTTCCCTACCCGTACCCTACCCGAAATGAGTGACAAACGGTGACTCACCAGTGACTCACGGCCTACCCGTACCCGGCCGCACCAGGGTGGCAAATGGCTACCATTGGAACCTCATTTGCCAGCAAAAAATATTATAATTGGTTTTTTACCCTTTTATCTGGCAAACAAAACTGACACCTTTGCATAGACCACAATACCTGCAGCCATAATGCGTCATCTGGTCCAACCCATGTGAAACTAGGCTCTAAGGAAAGCTGTCTCGGGTGTGGACCAATCAACTTCAAGGACAGTGCATACATTATCAGAGTTGTCTTTTTTGTTTGCATTATGACCGCAGGTATTGTGGTCAATGCAAACACGACTCCTCGTAAAAAAGGTGTCAGTTTTGTTGACAGATAAAAGGGTAAAAAAACAATGATCATATTCTGCTACTGCTGACAAATGATGTTCCAATGGTCTAAACCCGACATCAGAGAGGTCTCTGCACGGCTCCACGCCATCCTGCGTCTAGACAAATGTTCGTCTGGTGCCCAGTCAAAGAGTTGCACGTCCTTCTCTTATTCTCGGGGCTGGGATTTTTTCCGAATCAAGTGCAACTACGCAATTCACGCGGCGTGCAATTTTTTTTGGCGCGCCGATTCAAGTTAACGTCACACATTTTTGCGACGCCCAAACTTTCCAGATGTGCCAGGAACGGCACAAACAATTTGCCCAAGCTCTGTCATCCTATAATGGGATGGTTAGGCCAACTCCGTTTGTGAGTTTCTATACACGAGGTGGGGGGTGGGGGTGGAACAGCAACACCATCTCCGCACAGACGGAGACGGAGCCCGCTTGCTGTACTGCCGCCTCCCCCATCGCCTCCCCCAGCAGGCGTTGCACTTGAAGGCGAGGAGATCCAACAAGAACACACACACACCACGAGCGAGTGGCAGAGGCGGCCGTTACCTCCCGCCGTCTTTGGAAATGTTGTCAAAGAAGCTCCTGGTTTTGTCGTAGAAGCAGCCGTCCAGGAAGACGGGGGAGCTCGTGCGGGGACCCCTCAGCTTGTCCGCTGCTCAAGGGGAGACGCAACGGCAGAAGTGAGGGGGTGGCCTGGACAATTAAACACACAAAGATCCGCCCCCCCCACCCAACTCAAGACTCCACTGGTCAACACACATTCAGACGCTGTCTCCTCGACAGACCTGGTCTTCGCCTGAGGACGGCTGCTTGCGTTGTGGCCGAAACGTCGTGAGAATTATTTAATGTTTTATTTTTATTATTTTATTATTTCCCTTCTACGTGATGACTTTACCGAAAGATCCAAGAAGATGGTCAACACACTTTTACTGGCATAAGGTATTCCAACGGTTTTAAGGTAATTTAGTTAGTCAACATCTCCTAGCCACCGTGATGATGATGATGAGAGAAACACACAAACTCCAAATATACAGCAGCAGGCATCGTCAGGGTTGGGATCGAACCCACGCCCTCCTGCACACCAGGCGAGGTAGTTAACATCTCATAGCCACCGTGATGATGACAAGTTTGCAGTCGGTACCACATTGAGAAGTGTGTCAAAATTGAGTGACAAGATTTCTATTCTATGAGATCTCTTTTACCATTGGCAAAATATAGTAGTAGGTTTTTACCCTTTTAAACTGGTACAAAACTGACACCTTTATTCAAGGCATCATGTTTGCAATAACCACAACACAAGTAGTCAAAAAAGCAAACAAAAAGAAGCAACTCTGATAATGATGATAAGGACAGTGCATATTATTATCATTATCAGAGTTGCTTCTTTTTGTTTGCTTTGTTGACTACTTGTGTTGTGGTTATTGCAAACATGATGCCTTGAATAAAGGTGTCAGTTTTGTACCAGTTTAAAAGGGTAAAAACCTACTACTAAGATTTCTATTTTGCCGATACAGCAGCGGAGGACGAAGTGAGTTGTTGAGTGGCGGCAGCGTGTGAGTGAGTTCCCCCACCCCAGTATGACGCAGCTTTACCAAGTTTGCAGTGGGTACCACATTGGGAAGTTTCTAAAAATTGAGTGACAAGATTTCTATTTTGACGATACAGCAGCAAAATTAAAATTAATCGAAACGTCGTGATTTTTTATTTTTTTATTTTTTTTTATTTTACTTTTATTAATTTTAATTTTTTACCTACGTGACTTAGTTGTTGATCAGTGGCGGCAGCGTGTGAGTGAGTGCCCCACCTTCTCTCCGCTTGGCCTCCCTGCCCCGGAACTCCCTGTCCAGCGCCTCGCGGTCCAACTTCGCGTTGGCGCTCGCAAAGTCAAACTCCGCGTCCAACTCAACGCACGGCTCCGGGGCCCCACGGGGAGTCTGGGCGGCAATCCGCTTCGTGCTCCGACACCGTCGCTGCTGACGCTGGGGGGACGTCTGCACCCCCCGCTCCACCGTGGCGCTCTTCCTCGCGGCTGTGGGAGATAGTGCAGCTGCGTGTGAGTGTGTGAGTGTGTGTGTGTGAGTGTGTGTGTGAGTGTGTGTGAGTGTGTGTGAGTGTGTGTGTGAGTGTGTGTGAGTGTGTGTGTGATTGTGTGTGTGTGAGTGTGTGTGAGTGTGTGTGTGTGAGTGTGTGTGAGTGTGCGTGTGTGCGTGAGTGTGTGCGTGTGTGAGTGTGCGTGTGTGCGTGAGTGAGTGTGTGCGTGAGTGTGTGAGTGCGTGTGTGAGTGTGTGTGTGTGCGTGTGAGCGTGTGAGTGTGTGCGTGTGTGTGTGTGAGTGTGTGTGAGTGCGTGTGTGCGCGTGTGTGTGTGTGCATGTGTTTTTCACTATAAATCCTTTATATGCGTGGCATCGGTTTTATTTTATTATTCATTTCTGTTTTTCTTGAGTAAGAGTTTCATTTTTATCACATTGGTATTTTAAATTAAATATGAAATTTTTTTACGAACATTAATTGTCACGCACAACGAGTCTGTGTGCAAAATGTCAGCTCGATCGGATCATGGGAAGTGGGTTAAAAAACGACCGAAAATTTTGCATGGTCGTAAGCGCGCAAGCAAGCAAGCTAACTTAATATAAAGGATTTAAACAAGTATAACCCGTAAAAACTAAGTTTTTCACTATAAATCCTTTATATGCGTGGCGGCTAGAGTCCTCTCGTCCTCTGGCTTGAGATGGCTGCCACCTATGGGTCAGATGATTGCGTGGCAGCATTAAGAAATTGGTAATTAAATATAATATTTTTGTCCTAAAAAGTGTAAAATTTTGGAAAAAAAATTCACGAACATAAATTGTCACGCACAACGAGTCTGTGTGCAAAATATCAGCTCGATTGCATCACGGGAAGTGGGTTAAAAAACGGCCGAAAGATTTGCACGGTCCTAAGCGCGCAAGCAAGTGAACTTAATATAAAGGATTTAAATAAAAAAACATCGGATTTCCGTACGACGTCAGGATAAGCTCCGTTAGCGAGCACCTGCAAAGGCTGCTGGCTGCAAGAGGGGGGCGGGCGGGCGGGCGGTACAACGCCCGGCCACCTTTGCATCCCCAGCGTTTACCGCGCCGCCCGTACCTGTGGCTCCTCCGTGTGCAGGCCGCCGCCCGTCCGCCGTGTCCCGCACGAGCCGGCGGGCTCCGCGCGTGCCGCCCCCGTGGCCGCCGCGGGCTCCGTGCTGCGTGTCCCGCAGGGGGCGGGCGCCCCGTGACGAGGAGGACTGGACGGGGGCGAGGGTGGGTGGTCACGCAGCGACGGGATCAATCGTAGCGTGTCCAGTAACAACAAATATGATAATTGGTTTTTTATCCTTTTGTAATGCGGGCGTAAACGGCCCTCCGGAAGTGACGTCATGAGGGGAGGAGTTAGGTCACGTGGGGGAGAGGGGTTAAGCTATAGAGGGAGGGGAACCGGAAGAGGAAAGGGAGTGATGGGAGACCAGGAACGAGAGAGGCCACGAAGGGCGAAAGCGGAGGGTGGCGAGATCGCCACGGACACGGGGAGCGAGGATCGGCACCGTCGGCCAGCGGTGACCGACCCGAAGCAGCGAGGAGGCTGCAGTCAGCAGCGGGGCTGCATACAGAGTCAGCAGCGGGTCTGCATACGGAGTAGCAGCCAAGAGGGTCTGCATATAGAGTAAGCAGCGGGGATCTGCACAGGGAGTCAGCAGCGAGTCTGCAGGGAGAGGAAGGAGGTTACAATAGAGAAAGCAGAGAGTCTGCAGGGAGAGGAAGGAGGCTACAATAGCGATAGCAGCCGGGGGCTACAAATAGAGTGTCTATAAGAGAGTGCCGTGTGGGAAAAGACAAGAACCCAATAAAGGACACGAAGTCAGAGAGAAGCGTCCGAGTCCTTTATTACACTTTTATCTGGCAACAAAACTGACACCTTTTTTACAAGGAGTCATGTTTTGAGTTGTGAGCCTTTTGGCGTCATCTGGTCCAACACCATGTGAGACTGGCCTCAAGGAAAGCTGTCTCGGGTGTGGACCAATCAACTTCAAGGACAGTGCGTACATTATCAGAGTTATGTTTTTTGTTTGCATTCCAACTGCAAGTATTGTGGTCTATGCAAACATGACTCCTTGTAAAAAAGGTGTCAGTTTTGTTGCCAGATAGAAGGGTAAAAAAAACAATTATCATATTTTTCTACTGGCAAATGAGGTTCCAATGGTGTAAATGCTTACCTCCGAGCTCTCATACTCTGATGGTGCATTGTCTTTGAGTTGTGCGCCTTTTGTCAGTCATCTTGTACCAACTCCATGTGAGACTAGGCTCTAAGGAAAGCTGTCTCGGGTAGTGGACCAATCAATTTCAAGGACAGTGCATACATTATCAGAGTTGTGTTTTTCGTTTGCATTCCGACCGCAGGTATTGTGGTCAATGCAAACACGACTCCTTGTAAAAAAAGGTGTCAGTTTTGTTGCCAGATTACAGGGTAAACAACCAATGATCAGAGTTAAATATCTCGGTGGGGTCCTGCCCGCTAAAGTAACCAACCAGTTTGGCGGCGAAGAGAACGGCTGCCCCCCTCTCACCTGCACGACGGCCAGGTGGGGGTGCAGAGCGGAGAGCGGGCACCCCAACGCCTGCCAGGTCCTTGATCTCGCTGGCACGGAAGATGATGTAGTCGTAGATCTCCTCGCGAGGGGCGACGGCGCGCTCGGCGGGGCGACCCTCCGTGCCGCACACACGCACTGCGCACGCACAAAGACGACGCTAACGCCGCTAACGGTGCCGTGGTGGTGGTGGGTGTGTGGGCGACACCGTGGTGAGAAGTGAATCACCTCGCCTGGTGTCTATCGGAGGTCGTGCGTTTCATCCCAACCCTGGCGTCGGTTTTTGTCTATCACATCGGGTTTTTGAGATGATGTCAAATATTGCATTTTCAATAAAAACTTGCAGAAGAAAAATATTAAGTGAATGTGGATATCTACGTAAAATGATATTGTAAACACACTATCCTAAAAATACAGCACCATGTTTTAACACTAAAGCAGTCACTGACTCGCAACGACTTGCAATCATAAGTGACAGAGTTAATTCGGGTAAAATCAATGAAAATGGGGTATGCCGATAGCATAAAATGAGATGTGAGAGAGAAAATCTGAGATCACATTTGGAATCGGCACCCTGAAATTAGTCTAAAACAGCTGCAAAAGTCCAGGCCAGAATTTTTTTTGTTGACCAGTGTAACAATACCACAATTCTTCTTGGTTCTTTCGGTAAAGTCACGTAGAATGGAAATAATAAAAAAAATAAACATAAATAATTCTCACGACGTTTCGGCCACAACGCAAGCAGCCGTCCTCAGGTGAAGAACACAAAACTTTAAGATCCTTCAACAAACTCCGGGATAATCGAGTCTCTCACCTTTCTGAAGAGATGCCGCGACTCTAAGCTTAAATAGACGCTCCAAGCCTGGCGGTGTTTCATTCAGACGCTGTCTTCCCGACAGACCTGTTCTTCACCTGAGGACGGCTGCTTGCGTTGTGGCCGAAACGTCGTGAGAATTATTTTATTATGTTTTATTTTTATTATTTTATTATTTCCCTTCTACGTGACTTTACCGAAAGAACCAAGAAGATGAATCCCTGCAGTGGGGCTGGGTGGGGAGGGGCTGGGTGGGGAGGGTGGGGCTGGGTGGGGGGTGGGAGGGGCTGGGTTGGGAGGGGCTGGGTGGGGAGGGTGGGGCTGGGTGGGGGGTGGGAGGGGCTGGGTTGGGAGGGGCTGAGTGGGGAGGGGCTGCTCACCCCGTGGTGCCCTTATAAAACTCAACGTTTCACCTACTCACGCCGCCTTGTGCTGCCCGCCCTCACAGTCGGCCATGTTTGCAGAACACAGCACGCCCCACGCCCTGGTCACCGTCGTTGACCCTGGCCAACGTGTTCCTAGCAGCTCCCTCCGCAGGAGCAGGGAAGTGTTTAAACCCTCACCCCCTTTGACCCGTGACCCCCCCCCCCACCCCCCCGTGCGTGACCTTTGGCCAAGGCGACGGTGCAGTCGTCCGTGTTGACCCCGCTCAGGGTGCCCTCGTAGCGGATGCCGGCCATGGAGATCAAGCTGGTCCTGCTGCCCAAGCACAGCGTCCACGTGGCCATGATGATGATGCTGCTGCTGCTGATGATGCTGATGTTGATGATGCTGCTGATGATGATTCTGATGATGCTGCTGCTGATGATGCTGCTGATGATGATGCTGCTGCTGCTGATGATGCTGCTGCTCCTGCTGCTGATGATGATGCTGCTGCTGCTCGTAGCCGCCGCCGGCTCGAGCTGCGGGAGACAACAAGAGGGGAGGGTGGGGCCGGGCAGGAGGAGGTGATGATGGTGATTGTGTTGATGATGTTGTTGATGATGATGGTGTTGTTGATGTTGTTGATGATGATGTTGTTGTTGTTGATGTAGTTAATGTTGTTGATGATGTAGTTAATGTTGTTGATGTTGTTGATGATGATGTTGTTGTTGATGATGTAGTTAATGTTGTTGATGATGTTGTTGTTGGTGGTGATGATGTTGTTGATGATGTTGTTGATGATGTAGTTAATGTTGTTGATGATGATGTTGTTGATGTTGATGGTGATCACCCACGATGCGTCCCGCGTGTTCACGCCGTTTGAACTGAGCTGCTCACCGAGTCGCGTCGTGCAAAGGGCGCCAAATTGTGGGGGAGGGGATTTTTTTCCCTCTTCCTGTCAACGGGGGTATTATTTATTTATTTGTTAATTTATTTTTTGGTATTTTATTACATTTTTATATTTTACTATTTTATTATTAATATTGTGTTCCCTATCTACGCGACGTTACCGAAATAAACAAAGAATTGCGCTCAACATCTGTCGGGTCACTTGAGTTCATCCCCAAACCCCGCCCCCCTCGCCCCCCGCCCCCGCCCCTCACCCCTCCTGGTGGTGGTGGGGGTGGTGGTGGTGGTGGGGGTGGTGGGGGGTGGTGGTGGGGGTGGTGGGGGGTGGTGGGTGGTGGTGGGGGGTGGTGGTGGGGGTGGTGGGGGGTGGTGGTGTTGGCGGGTGGTGGGGGTGGTGGTGTTGGCGGGTGGTGGGGGTGGTGGTGGGGGGTGGGGGTAGTGGGGGTGGTGGTGGGGGTGGTGGGGGGTGGTGGTGGTGGGGGGTGGTGGGGGTGGTGGGGGGTGGTGGGGGTGGTGGGTGGTGGTGGTGGGGGGTGGTGGGGGTGGTGGGGGTGGTGGTGGTGGGGGGTGGTGGGGGGTGGTGGTGGGGGGTGGTGGGGGTGGTGGTGGTGGGGGGGGGGGTGGTGGTGGTGGGGGGTGGTGGTGGTGGTGGGGGGTGGTGGTGGGGGTGGTGGGGGGGTGGTGGGGGTGGTGGGGGGTGGTGGTGGGGGGGGGTGGTGGGGGTGGTGGGTGGTGGTGGTGGTGGTGGGGGGTGGTGGTGGTGGTGGGTGGTGGTGGTGGTGGGGAGTGAAAAATATTGAAGGGACGATTTTTGACCCCCACCACGTGATGGGGGGGAGGGGCAGTCACGTGATGGGGGGGAGGGGCAGTCACGTGATGGGGGGAGGGGCAGTCACGTGGCCACTTGTGGGTGGGGGGAGTTTGTTGGTGTGAGGGCGAGTGGAGGAGTGGATTGAGGTGCGGAGCGAGAGAGACACAGAGAGAAGGTGAGTGGTGGTGATGGTGGTGGGTGATGGTGGTGATGGTGGTGGTGATGGTGGTGGTGTGGTGATGGTGGTGATGGTGGTGATGGTGGTGATGATGATGGTGGTGATGGTGGTGATGATGGTGATGATGGTGATGATGATGGTGGTGATGGTGGTGATGGTGGTGATGATGGTGATGATGGTGGTGGTGATGGTGGTGATGGTGGTGGTGATGGTGGTGGTGATGGTGGTGATGGTGGTGATGATGGTGATGATGATGGTGGTGATGGTGGTGATGATGGTGATGATGGTGATGATGATGGTGGTGATGGTGGTGATGGTGGTGATGATGGTGATGATGGTGGTGGTGATGGTGGTGATGGTGGTGGTGATGGTGGTGGTGATGGTGGGATGGTGGTGATGATGGTGATGATGATGGTGGTGATGGTGGTGATGATGGTGATGATGGTGATGATGATGGTGGTGATGGTGGTGATGGTGGTGATGATGGTGATGATGGTGGTGGTGGTGATGGTGGTGATGGTGGTGATGATGGTGATGATGGTGGTGGTGGTGGTGATGGTGATGATGGTGATGATGGTGGTGGTGGGTGATGGTGGTGATGATGGTGGTGATGGTGGTGTGATGGTGATGATGGTGGTGATGGTGGTGATGATGGTGATGATGGTGGTGGTGGTGGTGATGATGGTGATGATGGTGATGATGGTGGTGGTGGTGATGGTGGTGATGATGGTGGTGGTGGTGGTGGTGATGATGGTGATGATGGTGATGATGGTGGTGGTGGTGATGATGGTGATGATGGTGATGATGGTGGTGGTGGTGCTGATGGTGGTGATGATGGTGGTGGTGATGGTGGTGGCGGTGATGTGGTGGCGGTGATGGTGGTGGTGATGGTGGTGGCGGTGATGGTGGTGATGGTGGTGATGCTGGTGATGGTGGTTGAGGTTGAGGTGGAGGTGGTGGTGGTGATGGTTGTGGTGGTGGTGGTGATGGTGGTGGTGGAGGTGGTGGTGATGGTGGTGGTGGAGGTGGTGGTGATGATGATGGTGGTGATGGTGGTGATGATGGTGATGATGGTGATGATGATGGTGGTGATGGTGGTGATGGTGGTGATGATGGTGATGATGGTGGTGGTGGTGATGGTGGTGATGGTGGTGATGATGGTGATGATGGTGGTGTGGTGGATGGTGATGGTGATGATGGTGATGATGTGGTGGTGATGGTGGTGATGGTGGTGATGTGGTGATGATGGTGATGATGGTGATGGGTGATGGTGGTGATGATGGTGATGATGGTGGTGGTGGTGGTGATGATGGTGATGATGGTGATGATGGTGGTGGTGGTGATGGTGGTGATGATGGTGGTGGTGGTGGTGGTGATGATGGTGATGATGGTGATGATGGTGGTGGTGGTGATGATGGTGATGATGGTGATGATGGTGGTGGTGGTGCTGATGGTGGTGATGATGGTGGTGGTGATGGTGGTGGCGGTGATGGTGGTGGCGGTGATGGTGGTGGTGATGGTGGTGGCGGTGATGGTGGTGATGGTGGTGATGCTGGTGATGGTGGTTGAGGTTGAGGTGGAGGTGGTGGTGGTGATGGTTGTGGTGGTGGTGGTGATGGTGGTGGTGGAGGTGGTGGTGATGGTGGTGGTGGAGGTGGTGGTGATGGTGGTGGTGGTGATGATGGTGGTTATGGTGGTGATGGTGGTGATGGTGGTGGTGGTGGTGATGGTGGTGGTGATGGTGGTTGAGGTGGTGAGGGTTGTAAAGGTGGTGATGGTGGTGATGATGGTGTTGGTGATGGTTGTGGAGGTGGTGATGGTTGTGGAGGTGGTGATGGTGGTGGTGATGGTGGTGGAGATGGTGGTGATGGTGGTGGTGGTGATGGTGGTGGTGATGGTGATGATGGTGGTGGTGGTGATGGTGGTGATGATGGTGATGATGGTGGTGGTGGTGGTGGTGATGATGGTGATGATGGTGATGATGGTGGTGGTGGTGATGATGGTGATGATGGTGATGATGGTGGTGGTGGTGATGATGGTGATGATGGTGATGGTGGTGGTGCTGATGGTGGTGATGATGGTGATGGTGGTGGCGGTGATGGTGGTGGCGGTGATGGTGGTGGCGATGGTGGTGGCGGCGATGGTGGTGGCGGTGATGGTGGTGGTGATGGTGGTGGTGGTGATGGTGGTGGCGGTGATGGTGGTGATGGTGGTGATGCTGGTGATGGTGGTTGAGGTGGAGGTGGTGGTGGTGGTGGTGGTGATGGTGGTGGTGGTGGTGATGGTGGTGGTGGAGGTGGTGGTGATGGTGGTGGTGGTGATGATGGTGGTTATGGTGGTGATGGTGGTGATGGTGGTCGTGGTGGTGATGGTGGTGGTGATGGTGGTTGAGGTGGTGAGGGTTGTAAAGGTGGTGATGGTGGTGATGATGGTGGTGGTGATGGTTGTGGAGGTGGTGATGGTTGTGGAGGTGGTGATGGTGGTGGTGATGGTGGTGGAGATGGTGGTGATGGTGGTGGTGGTGATGGTGATGGTTGTGGAGGTGGTGATGGTTGTAGTGGTGGTGATGGTGGTGGTGATGGTGGTGGTAGTGATGATGGTGGTTATGGTGGTGGTGATGGTGGTGATGGTGGTGGTGATGGTGGTGGTTGAGGTGGTGATGGTTGTAAAGGTGGTTATGGTCGTGGTGATGGTGGTGGTGATGGTCGTGGAGTTGGTGATTGTAATAGTGGAGGTGATGGTGGTGGTGATAGTGGTTGTGGTGGTGATGATGATGGTGGTTCGAGGTGGTGGTGGTCGTGGTGGTGCATTCACTACCTTAACAGTACTCGCTCTGTCTCTCTCTCCCCATCCCTCCTCATCTCGCCCCATCTCTCTCCCCGTGTCTCTCTCCACCGTGTCTCTCTCCACCGTGTCTCTCACTCTCCACCTTGTCTTTCTCCCCGTGTCTCTCCCCGTGTCTCTCCCCCCGTGTCTCTCCCCGTATCTCTCTGTACGTAATGTGCATACACAGCACCACGTACAGTGTGCACTGTGCACACAGCACCACGTACAGTGTGCACACAGCACCACGTACAGTGTGCACTGTGCACACAGCAGCACGTACAGTGTGCACTGTGCACACAGCACCACGTACAGTGTGCACACAGCACCACGTACAGTGTGCACTGTGCACACAGCACCACGTACAGTGTGCACTGTGCACACAGCAGCACGTACAGTGTGCACTGTGCACACAGCACCACGTACAGTGTGCACACAGCACCACGTACAGTGTGCCTGTGTACACACAGCAGCACGTACAGTGTGCACTGTACACACAGCAGCACGTACAGTGTGCACTGTGTACACACAGCAGCACGTACAGTGTGCACTGTGTACACAGCACCACGTACAGTGTGCACTGTGCACACAGCAGCACGTACAGTGTGCACTGTGTACACACAGCAGCACGTACAGTGTGCACTGTGTACACACAGCAGCACGTACAGTGTGCACTGTACACACAGCAGCACGTACAGTGTGCACTGTGTACACACAGCAGCACGTACAGTGTGCACGGTGCGTGCGGTACAGTTTCAGTGTGCGCGGTAAGTCACTATTGTGCATGCAATATAGCCTCACAGAAGCAGGTGGAGGAGGTGGTGAGCGTGGTGGTGGTGAGGGTGGTGGTGGTGGTGGTGATGGTGGTGGAGGTGGTGGTGATGGTGGTGATGATGATGGTGGGGGGTGGAGGTGGTGATGGTGGTGGTGATGGTTGTGGTTGTGGAGGTGGTGATGGTGGTGGTGGTTGAGGTGGTGGTGGTTGTGGTGGAGGTGGTGGTTGTGGTGGAGGTGGTGATGGTGGTGATGGTGATGATGGTGGTGATGGTGGTGATGGTGGTGGGTTTCGTGACTGCAGGGATTCATCTTCTTGGTTCATTCGGTAAAGTCACGTAGAAGGGAAGTAATAAAATAATACAAATAAAACATAATAAAACAATTCTCACGACGTTTCGGCCACAACGCAAGCAGCCGTCCTCAGGTGAAAACCAGGTCTGTCGAGGCGACAGCGTCTGAGGACGGCTGCTTGCGTTGTGGCCGAAACGTCGTGAGAATTATTTTATTATGTTTTATTTTTATTATTTTATTATTTCCATTCTACGTGACTTTACCGAAAGAACCAAGAATATGAATACTTGCAGTCACGAAAGTTTCAAATCTAGAATTAGTGAAGCCCTGTTGATGATCCCCAGCGAACAGCCCATGGGTAGCGCCCAGCCTCATTCTAGATTTAAAGCTTTGGTGACTGCAATGAGTCGTACTCTCTGGTTTTTTCGGTAAAGTCACGTAGGTGAGAAATCTAAATTAATCAAAGTAATATAAAAATATAATTTACTTGATACAGCAATCGTGCTGTGACGGTTCCACCTGAAGACGGAAGCTTGTGTTGCCTCCGAAACGTCGTGATATTTTAAAATTCGTTGGGGGGATGCAGACGCCTGCGATGGATTTTTATTGATAAATTATCGACGATGACGACCCGCTAGGGATGTGATCTCACCACTTGTGAGAGAAAACGTGAGGTAAGGAGTGTCCTCTAACGTCCAGTCCGTGATTTGCAGATGATTTGCAGGTGCAGTGTTGAGTCTATGGGGCAGTGTTGAGTCTATGGGCAGTGTTGAGTCTATGGTGCAGTGTTGAGTCTATGGGCAGTGTTGAGTCTATGGTGCAGTGTTGAGTCTATGGTGCAGTGTTGAGTCTATGGGCAGTGCTGAGTCTATGGTGCAGTGTTGAGTCTATGGGCAGTGTTGAGTCTATGGGCAGTGTTGAGTCTATGGTGCAGTGTTGAGTCTGTAGGGGTGTTAAAGAGAGGGCCCGTTATGCATGGCAGCCTATGGAAAACAAACACAGTGGGCGGGGCTACGTAAGTACACGAGGAGGTGCCCTCTACGACGTCCGAGCCAGACACCCTGGGGGGGGCTGGTTCGAACGTTATGATCCCCCGGGGCCCCACC